TTTAATGGTAGTTGTTGAGTGGATGGTTCACTTGTTTCTTTCAGAATCTTAATGGGACCTTTGTTACTTAAAAGTCTCTAGCTTGAAAAGGTACTTGGGATGTTGTTCTTTCATTTTCTGTGGCTCATTACCATTTAAGTCATGTCTGCTTAAGTTCACCCAACTGGCTCCAGTTTTCAGAAGTGAGCACCAAAGTTTTTCAGTCCTGAACAATATCTAGGGGTCAGAGATCCCCACAGACAAATGTAAAAATCGCCCTGTCATTGGGAATCCTTTGCGTGTTCACTGTTTTGCATGGCTGAATGACAAAACTGGTGCGGACTGGGATGTGTAGGGTTTTCTTGTGTCCCATCAACTATGTATCTCGTGAAGCTGAATTTTCAGTGGCTATCAGCCACAAACTCTCCTGGGTGAAGAAAGAACAAAGATTAAGCCAAATAATGTGCTGGGATAGGCCAAGCCACCTTTGTTGTTCATTTCCAGTCCCAGCTCAGCCCCTAAAGTTTTGTTCTACTGGCTTAGAATCCTGTCAGGAATGAAGATGGGAGGTGCAGGCTGTAAGATACACAGAAAACAGGGTAGAGAAAAGAGACAAAAATGCCCACAGCACTTAACATTTGCACAGTGACTTCACCTTCATTATCTCGTATAATTATCTGTGTTTTACAGATAAGGAAACTGAGCCCCAGAGATACGAAATGATTTACTTGTCCAGGATCACAGTTAATGTCAGAGCTATAACTTGAATTCAGATCTTGTGGCTCCATATCCGTTTCCTTTAGACAAAAGGCTGGAGCCACTGGCAGAGTGGTTCAAGTGGTAACAGGGCCTGCCTAGCAGATGTGAAGCCCTGAGGTCAAACTTGAGTACTACCCAAAACACAAAAGACTGTGCATCCCTAGACCTGATATTATTAATATATTAGGAGTGGCTTCTTTCTTTTAAATATTCCATTATTCATTACTAGATTTATAATTATGGTTTTTCTAAGATTAGTACTACAAAAATTTGAACTGTCACTGTTATTACTGCTGCCACTAAAGTCATGCGCTTTAGTGAATTCATTTTATTCAGTTTAATAAGTGCCTAGTTTCCTTGATAAAATACTGTCCACTCCCACAGGAATCAGAGAAGTATTTATATAAATATATAGATGAAATGGAATGTGATAGATTTTGTAGTGGACATATGAGCGTCAGAATCCCCTGGATGGCTTGTGTAAAAAAAATGGATTGCTGGGCCCCACACTCAGAGTTCCTGACTTATTAGCTCTGGGTTGGCTCCCAAGAATTTGAATTCCTAACAAATTCTTGGATGATGTTGATACCACTGGTCCAGAGACCACAGCTTGAAAGCTGGTGTTACTTCCATCTGGGAGAGTCAGGGAAAATGCAGAAATGATGCCCAGGCAAAGTTTGAAGAATTAAGTTTGTCTAGTGAAGTGGGTAGAATGGCATTCTATGTAGATAGATTAGCATACATTAAAGGCAGAGGCAACTAAAACAGTGTAATTGCCACAATCAAAGAGAGGTGCACAAAAGTGAGGGGTGAGGCTGAACTCCTTCCAGATGACACATGGTCTCTGTTTTATGGACTGTGCAGAGCCACTAAAGGATTTGAAACAGAGATATACTTATGTCAAATTTGCATTCTGGAAACCTAATTAATTTCTAATACCAATACGACGAAGGCTTGGAGGAAATTCCCTCTTAACACATAAGCATGGGAAAGCTCCTTTGAACATCTATAATATTATGCCCATGGTTTAGTAAGATGTATGTACCTCTTGGTATTTCAGTCAAACCATTAATCAGTCCCTATGTGCATTGCTTATATAGGAGTCAAAGATATCCTTTCCCTTAATTGCTCATGGGAGCCCACACTTACACAGAGAAAGCAAGCAAGCACAGCCAAAGTGGACATTTACTGAAGGCAGAAAAGAGAAAGGTCAGGAAGGACTGACACAATCAGCCAGGACTCACGGAGGAGGCAGAACATAAGCTGACTTATGGAACAGTGGTATTTGTGCAGATAGAGGAACACATTGCAGACCAGGGGGACCAGGAGAAAAGGAATAAAAGGAGAGTGAGACTTGGGATGTACAGAGACATTGGAGAAGCTGGAACAGTTGTTGAGACATGGTGGGGAAGTGGAAAAGAGGATTGGGTCAAAAAGACCATTTCCACTGGCAGTAACCTCTGGAAGCATTCTAGAGAAGGATTAAGTAGGGTAACATAGTGAAAGGAAATAGAAGGCTTTTCAAGTTACTGCAAGTCTTCTCTCCTTATCACCCCGAGGATAAAAGGAATCAAGGGGACTGGCTACAAAACTTGGGCCTGCAGGACATGAGGCAGGACAGATGCCTGGGGCTTTGGTTCTGAGAGGGGCAAAGTGATAGTTGTTACTGCTGGCCATTGTCCTCAGAATGAGGTAGGTTGGGATCTGACAGCTCCTTATAAAAGGCCATCTGTCCTGTGAATTGGGATGAAGGTCTGCGAAACCTTCCATTTCAGCCCCCAGATGGTAGCACAACCCTTGCAAGGGAGGCTTCCTGATCATGTGCTCCCACATTTGCAAATAAGAAAATGTGTCTGCAGGTTGGTTTTTTGCAGGTACTCACATCACAAATGTCTTTATAGCATTTTCATAAGCTTTGACTTCTATCCAACTGCAGTGTTTGTACTTACTGAAACAAATCCACAAGTTTCTTTTCTCTTGTGCCTTTATAAAGAATGATAGATTTGCTCACAGCATAGATTGGGCCACTGCTGAATTATTCCATACACTTTAAATTTATCCAAAACTTAAATTTTCAGCATACATTATTTCCATTCCCAGGAGCAGCACATAACTTTTCTTCAAGGTCATCATTCCTCAAGTGGTTAAGTTGTGATGTGAAGAGTTCAAATGTTTGCCTTCACCGCAACTGTGGGTGGAGGGGCAAAACTGCAGCATATGAGGAAGACTGAGGCAGCGGGCGTTGCTGTGAGTGGGTCCCCACACCTGCCAGGGAGTGCTGTTCAAATTTAAACCTCATCAAATTAAAATTTACTGTCCACTGCAGACCTTTGTGGTCAAATGGTAATTGCTGAAACTACATCTAATAAATCAGATATTCTAGTATGTCTGACTTAGGGATGGGAATTAGGATGCATGTGCCTGCAGGTGCAGGTAGCAGGTTACCCATTTTAATCAGATGTATGTCATTAGGCCCAGTGAGCAAACTGTATTGAATTTATCATTAACTCTATTTAAACATAATCTGTCTTAACTTTCACCTTTTCTAAAATTCTGTCTCAGAAGAAAAGTGAAAGAAAAAAAAAAGGAGAAGGGGTTAGACTTTGCCAAAGGGTGTTTCATGGGGTGTGCAGCAACCAAATGAAAAGGCCCAATTTTAACTGAATTATGGGCTGTGTAATTATTTAACCTGTACCAGCTGGTCTCAGGACCTACCAGATTCCTTAGAGAGTTTGTATTTGGCCAGAAACATAAGGTACCCTCTTAGTTCCAGGAAAATCATCTTCTCTACCTGCATTATTCCTGACCCCCAAAGAACATAATGTAGAAGGAAAAAGTAGCTTGGGATTCATTTTTGAATTAAGAGGCAGTCATTCCTCCCTCTGCATCTGTAGTGAATTTCCTAAAGCACCTGCAGCCTCTGAGGAATGCCCACATAAACAGGATGTTATTGCATCAGACAGGTAAGAGTAATTTCTCTAATTAGCCATTGGAGAGTTCATTTTTCACTTGAAAAATACTGGAAATTTGTTTGTGAAGTGCAGTTGGCAAACTGACAATAGCTACTAGTGCCTCCTCCCTCTGTCTTGCTGTGCTGACATCCTGTGGAAAGCACTGGGGGGTCTCCATGTCAGAGGCTTTGCTTTATCTATCCACATCACACAAACTAGAGTACATTTGTATTGAAAAATGTGTTCTAATTACACATTCCTCACTCCTGAGCACAGAATAATCCTAATGAGTTTTCCCTGATCATTTTTCTTTTAGATTAAATGCTTTTTCTCAATTCCTCCAAATTTTGTAATGGAGCAGTAATCCTTGATACATGTTCATTTATGTAAGCATTGCTGTTAGAGATATAGAGCAAAATATTTTTAGCAAGCTGCGTTTTACAAATTAAAGTATGAGTACAATTGAAGACAATCCCTGATTTATCTTTTATTACAGAAAGAGTTCATCCTATTTATTTTGTTTTAAAACACCCTTCTCTAAAGAAAGATTGATTGGTATCAAATGTTCCCATAAATCATAGCTATTGATTTTACATTTGTTTTAGCTCCTCTGATTTTGTGCCACCTGGTGTCATAATTTGTTATCTTGATAGTCAGCCCCTGAGTTGGTACTGGGACAGAGACTGAAATATGGTTTCTTTCCATTCAGACTAATCTATACGTGAAACAGATGAGCTTTCAAACAGAGAACCATGCTCTTCTTGCTCCTTATGATGTTACCCTGGTATTTCCATGGAGACTACAGATGCTCAGCAGTAAAACTGGCAGCTAGTTGCAACAGTAGGCTCTCTAGCATAGTCCAGTCAGCATCAGCACAGACAAGGCCTCCTGCCTGTCCTGGATGTTGCAGGAAGCTCGGTGCTGCTCCACCTGGCTTTTAACTGGCTCTTAGGATTCAGAGTGCACATATAATGACCATTTCCTAGAAACTCTCAAGGTCAGATTTTTCTTCCATGTTCTACAAGTAGAAGTGATGGGAGAGAGAATATTTGCTGGATACTCCCTATCTTGTTAGTTGAAGAAGGTCTGCCAGCCTCTTTTAAGTCTTTATCTGCTTAGATGCTTCTAGGAAGAGTATAGGATGCCAGACCACCAGGCACCCATCTGGGGTACAGTGAGTTAGACTTCCTGAAAATGCGTGCTGTACTCAAATATCACCTCTTATATTCTTTCTTTTTCTGGATAATTTGATTGAATGCTCTCAGTTTCAATTGCTGTTTTACACCTTTTCTTTTCTGGCTTCCCATTCAGTATTCAGTTACATCACTCAAGACCATCCCAGAGCTGTGCCGAAGATGTGACTCACAAAACGAAGACAGATCAGGTAGGTTTCACTCTTCACCTCTCCACCTTCCTGACTTAGTGTGAAGCCTCCTGGAAAGTGTTTTTCCCTTGCACTGGTTGCCCAGTGTTTTCTTTTCCTTTTTTGGTTTCTTCACTCACAAGCCCTCCCCACTACTCTCAACAGATGTTAGGTCATCCACAAAAGGGTAACAGGACAGAGAGGTCCTAATGAAGATCTGGCTGATTATGGATGAATGTAGATTGTCTTGGCATCTCCGAACCACAGCATATGCAGCAATTTACTGAAAACCCAAGAAACCATTGGTGACAAAACATAATGATGCAGGCGCCAATGAAAAAATGTTGGATGCATTTACTACCCACATAGCAACAACCAGCCTGGGGATGGTGCTTCCCCAAAGTCTAGAAGCCCTGTTGGGGATGGGATGTGAGAGAATCTGCAGTAAGGCATACTGTAACCGTTAAGACTAAAGCCCAGCTCTGGAGTTTAATAGTGTAAACTAAACAGAATCTTGGCATATAGATGGAAACCAGCTGGTCGACCTTTCTCCTTGCACCCTCTCCCCTGACCAAAAAAAAAAAAGTACATTTAGGGTTGTTTTCCCCTCTGTAAATCAAATTAAACCTCTGCCTTTCTCTCTATGATGGGCAAAAATGAAAATAAAAAAGGATATTGATGGGAATTGTAGCATGGTATTAAACTATGAAATATTAGTTTTTCCAAGTAATTACACTAAGGCATCACCATTAACCTTGCCAAAACTGGAGCTCTTACGATAATAATGAGAGTTCTAAGCACCATAGCTGGTGATAATCCTCAAATTATGTGTATCATGTTTAAAAATAAATAGATGTATTTTACCTATATAGCTACTAGAATTCTAGGTTTCTAACTGAAAGGATTTTGCACAGCTAACTTACTTTTCCCTGGACTGTTTGTTTTCTTTTGACATTTTGCTTAGATGAGACAGGGAAAATAATTAGTCTTTCTAGGTTTGTTTATCTCCCTGTTTTTGTGTGCATGTGTGTAAGTGGAAGTACTGCATCAATGTTTGGGTCAGAAATATCACAGAAGATAGTTTTAAGCTCAAAACTTTTCCTTTACCCTTAGTTTTTTACTCACTTTATATTTCAAAAACACTGAAGTTTCTGTAGTTTAACTGAGGCTTTGGGCTGTAAGCCTTTTCAGGATGTGTCTCCTTAGGGCAGCATTTTTTCAATGATGAAGTAGTGGCTGTGCTCAGTAGCACAGGCTGCAGCCTGCAGCAGAGAGGCCAGCAGCCTCAGTGCCTCACCTGGGTTCAAGTTAGAATTCAGCTATTTATCAGCAACGTGACTTTGAGCCTGTGACTAATTGTCTGTAAAGTAAAGAAGAAACTTCTTCTACCAATGACATCCAGCTATTGTTAGGTACTGTATGTAAAGGCACTTCCACATACAAGATTTTCTTTCTTCTTTAATTGGGGATGGGGAGTAAGAGAGACAAAACAGCACCAAATATTTCATTAGTACTAAAGTACGTATTGCAAATGTGAGAGCCTTACATTAACTCAGTGAATCCTAACATCCCTGTGAGTTAAGTAATACCAGCATGTTTGTATTATAGATGAGCAGGCTGAGAAACAGCAGTTAACTATCTTTCCAGAGTCGTGCAGTGATTAAGTTCCAGAGCTGGAACTCAGACTCCCGCAAGTCTGTTCCTAGGGTCTCTTCTCCTCTGCATTGTACATACTGCATCTCAGACAGCTGGACTTAGTACTGTTAAGTCACTACTCCTACCAAGTAAAGGGAACAAACAGAAACTTAACAATCATTTTTCCTGCATCTGGTTTATTCCATTCTCTTCAGGTCTTTCCACTTCTACAATAAGTCATGTTAGCCTTTTCTTCTGTGGTGGTGGAGGAGGTCAATTTCAAGTTCAGAAACTTTTAAACTTCATCCATTGTAAAGACCCAATGTTTAAGATAGTGAACAGTCATTAAATTTGGCAGGAAATTGATGTAAGACTCAGAGCTCTTGATCAAGGAATGATATATATACAACTCCAATTTGAAAGACCATTTGGAGGCTGGGAAGCCAACCATATTCTAATAGATGAAGGGTAATCCTAGGAAAAGGAACACATGGGAAATTCACCTGTGAAAGAATTGTCTGTGACATCGAGAGAAATCTCAGTGTGATAAAGTTTTCAGAGCCCATTTCTAAAAGAACTGAGACATTCTCAGTCATTTCTCTCCACTCCCTGACTTTCTTGTATCAACCACCTAAAAAAGTACTGCTCCTGGAGGTCTAGCAAATTTCTGTGTTTTCAAATTGATGGCAGCAGAAGACATTTTGGTCTCTGAGAAAAGTCCACATCACCTTTAGGATGGAGAATCCTCCATTTACTGACGGTTCTTTACTAGGGTTCACTAAGCCTTAGAATATGTCTTTACCTTCCTAAAGTACTTTAAGCACTTTCTTTTAGGGCAAGTTGTCAAATCCTAATGTCCTTCTGTTAACAAGTCTTTGACAAGAAGTTCTCATTTGTTCTTTATTTATTCACACAACACATATTTGCTGAGTGTTCTCTAACCAAGCAGTGACAGCAAAGAAGACAGGCAAGGCCTGGTGCTAATGGAGCTTATGTTTGAGTGGGGATGACAGTCAAAGGCAAGCAAACAGCATAGAAGAGAGTGATAAGAGGCCACCTGAGCAAATGTGGTAGCATAACTTGTAGGAGTTGGGGCAGGAGTGAGGAAGGGCTTATGAGGGCAAGGGAATGTTTGACCACCCACCCAGGTGAAGGGCAGTGAAGAGGACTGAACAAGCAAGTGCAAAGTCCCTGAGCCAGGAATGAGCTTAGAAAGTATAAGAAAATCAAACAGCATAGCTTCTGCTTGGAGATCAAAATGAGCAGGGCCAGAGGTAAAGCCAGGCAGATGGGTAGCAGACTCTGCCAGGTACAGGAAAGAATAGTGCTACAGCAGGGATCCACTTTTTCTAAAATCCTAACACAGGGTTTGCAAGCCTTATCCAAAATGCCTGGAACCAGATGTACTTCACATTTGGGAGTTTTTTGGATTAGGGAATTTTTGCATAGACTCAACTGGTTTAACATCCTAAATACAAATATCCAAAACATGAAATGCTCTGAAATCAGAAGCTTCATGAGCATAAATGCTGTCAGGGCCCAAAGTATTTCAGATTTTGGGTTTGGGGATTAAGGATGCTTAACCTATACATAGAAAGAAGCCTCGGCATGTAGAATCATAATTCCAGTAAGATAAGGGACTTTAAAAATCATCTAGTCTGGAAGACCAAGTGAGAAACTAAGGTAAATGAGTAAAATGTAGGCAGCTGATGAATGTGGGTGAAGGGTCTACAGCTGGTTTGGGTGCTATTTTTAGTTTTGCAATGACCATGTTAATTTATTTGTAATGAAAATTTTTAAATTATTTACAAATAAAACATTTTCTAGATGATAAACAACAACAATAACAACAACCAAAAACAAGTAGTGCAAAGCCAACCATATCTTTGAAAGTGATTCTAAATGGCTTCTCAGCCTTTTGAGCAAGATCACGTGAAGGTGAATCTTGCCATTGCACCCCTGGGCCGTCCAGCCTAGACTTCATCACTTCAGTGACAAGGGTGCACAGCCTCATGGCTCAGCCATCCATAAAGATTCATTTTGCTATTCAGGCAAAATCAGTGTCCCTTAAATTTCCTCCCATCAACCCTAGTTTTTCCTTGTAACTGTAGAAAAGAAGGACAAAGGAGTGGGAAGCCTGAGAACACAGTGCTACCGAGGTTTCTTAGTGACCTCTTAAGCTTAATGCTGTTCTCGGTAACTAGTTCTCTGAGTACCATTAGACTGCCCACTTTACTGATGAAACTGAGGCTCACGGTGAATAATTTCATTGGCACTAGCAAGCGAATCTGACATCAGTTCTGCTGTCTCCAGAGACTATGAATTTGAGTCAACTGGGGAATACTTGAGTCCAGTGAACCAAGTGTAGGAAGTAGAATGAGGCAAAGATTGGCAGAAAAGGGAGTCGTGTGAAAAATTTGCATCTAATGAAGGAAATTATTTGTGAAATGTTTGCACAAATTCTCTGCCTAATATCTTGTACTCATGTAAGAGGACAGCACAAGGATTGGTCGTTAACTCTGCCTGAAGGTTTTCTCCAAAGGAGGATGTAAATGCTTGATGGCAACATATGATATTCAAACCAAAACACATCCAATTTCATTGACTTAGAGTTTTCAAAGTTAATTAGATATTCAAACACATTTGTTTCAGTTCATGATGCTTTAAATGTCTTGTGATTCTTTCAAAATATGTACCTGCTAAACTCATTGTACAATCTTCTTATGAAACAGGGCAAATAAATATTAATGCAGTTTTGCATCTAAGAACTTAGATGTGCTGAGGTTAGAAAATCCAGTTATGTAACTGTAATAAATGATCCTGTGATACCTTTGAAAATATATTCTAAAAGAATTTTAATACTTGAACCATATATCACTTGTATGATAATGAGTAAAAATGACATGTTTTTAAAATTTGGTATCTTATAAAAGTTATTTTGGATGTATATTTTAAAGCTTTGCAAATTTGTTATACTTTTAGACATGCAAGACATACATGCTGATTTTGTGACAAACCCTGAACCCATGACAACAAACACTTACATGGTATTTTAAGATTTTCAAGGATTTTAGCCATCACTTAAAGTAGTAAATTGGCATGAAATTTATCCTGTAGACATTGCTGTACTGGCTGATGTTAAGTATATAAACCTGTTTTCAATTTGTATTAAGGTTTAATGCTAAAAGCATGAAAGTGAAAGTTGACTTGGCAATTTAAATTGAAAAGTCTGCTGATTAATCCATTTCACATTATGTAATATAAACTGGCAAAAGAATAGGGAAATGCATTTTGTAAGATCTCATTCAAGAAAATGAATACTTCAATACGATGCAGCAAAGAATTTCACATTTATGACAACGACCTCAGTTTCTTCAACAGCAGTG